GCGATTGTATGCTTATAATTTTGTTTATATGTTTTTCATAATAAGCAATGTATATTATATGTCATGAATAAGTGATAATTGTGTTTTAATTATGTTTGATTTTTTGGCTGCATGTGACCTTTAACCTTTTCAAAGAATTTTCATATTTAATAAAGAATCGTCAGAATTTGTTATTAACATTGTACTCAAGTAAATCAGTAGTAAGTATCGGCATATAGCTTGATACTGACTAAAATGTGGTTGCAATTTATTGTGTATGGTACATATGCTATTTGATCATTTAATTTCATGTATTCTTTTAAAAATTCGTACATTTTACTACCATTGTTGTCACATATTTTGTGTTGTTTTTTCGTAAACGAATACGATAAAATCGTACGGGTTGGTATCTCTGCTACTGGTCACATTAGTTTGTATGACTGCCTCCCTCGTCTCGAGGATGAAGCATCTGCCCAGATAGCGAATTCGATAGTTCAACCCTGATCCGGAACAAAAATCTTTAAAAGATGGTTTTTGTTACCCTGCCTGGAACTCAGCTTTAAGGGGATTGTAACCCTGGTTACAATACATGGCCTTCAACTTGAACAAATCTAGGCTGTTGTAAGGATTGCCCCTCATCTCTTTAGTGGGTCAGACTAAGACACAGTATTTTCAGAAATGCTTCAACCATTTCCACCTTACTGGACCGCCTCCGTGGTGTAGTGGTTAGAGCGTCCCCCCAGAGAGCAGAAGGCCGTGGGTTTGATCCCCGACAGCGTCATACCAAATGACGTTATAATATGGTATTCGTTGGTCCCTGTCTGGCGCTTGCCATTAATGGGTACAACAAGGACTGGTCGGCTCTGAGTCAGTATAATGTGTCTGAGTGGGCTATCTCAGTGGGCTAGCACTATAAACCCAGCTTAAGTCTGGGCTAGTACAAGCAGCCGCACATACACATACACACGCATGCACGTCGTCATATGAGCGAAATATTCTCAAGCACGATGTTAAACCCAATTTCACCTCACCTACTGACTGTTATATTTTGATTTCTATTTTACACATGCAAATTATTACATTCAAAGTTGATTTGTTGCAGAAAGAAAATCATCATCAGCTCTAGAATTAATTTAAAACAGTGAGTGAGTGAGTATGGTTTTATGCCGCTTTTAGCAATATTCCAGCAATATAACGGTGGGGTACACCAGAAATGGGCTTCATACATTGTCACCAATGTGAGGTATTGAACCCAGGTCTTCGGTGTGACGAGCGGACGCTTTAGCCTCTAGGCTACCCCACCGCCCCTTAATTTAAACAGATTTCAGTCTAATGACACCTTAAACATGTTAAAATATAACCTGGTTATCATAATGGTTTATCATAGACTCCTGACGTCACTGACGGTGTTGCTGAGAAGTAACTAGAAGTAACCATGGTAACTGCAACAATTCACCCAGACCTCCATTCGATTCGATTTTCAATATTGGACCCTCGATTCAATCATTTTCAATTCGATTCTTCAAACAAGTAAAAACATCAGATTCACTTAACTCTCAGAGTCGGCTTTTTAGCATGAAATCCATCGTCAATTTGGCATGTCTACTAACAACAATTGTCATTATATAATTAGTCCGGCTTCAACAATCACATTTCGCCTTATTTCAGCGCTCAAAACTGCTCGGGTTGGAGTCAAAATTAAGTTCTTGCTATGTGGAAATAATTTACATAGATATTCAAATATTGAATCAAAATAGTGATAATGGTTATCGAAAATCGAAACTAAGGTGGCAGATTCGATTTTCGATGAATCGAATCGAATCGTTGCCGCCCTAGATGTAACACAACACAAAGAATTGTGGTCAGTGGCCATAGGGAGCATTATACATACAAAGACACACAGTTGTGTCAGACTGAAGGGACCTGCATGTTTGTACCAGCCTAGACTAGAACTGCTTGTAGCTATGGTGTTTCTACATCCTAACTATGACGATACAGCTCTAGGCCAGTACTGGGTTCAAGTCAGCAGTGAACAACACTGACTGTGCTGATCACAACGCTAACAGTAACCTGATAGCTAGAGACAAACCTGATCAAACTAGGACATCACAAGAGGACCGATGGCAATATACAGCAAATAGAGTATTTGATACAGTTGTCAACCATGATGGAATTTTCTCAGTGATCTAATCAAAGAACACAATAATCATTAAGGTTAACTCATATTATAGTGAGTGAGTTTAGTTTAACACTGCACTCAGCAATATTCCAGCTATATTGCAGCGGTCTGTAATTGAGTCTTGGCCAGACAATCCAGTGATCAACAGCATGAGCACGATCTGCGCAATTGGGATACGATGCCCAGTGTCAAACAAGTCAGCAATCCTGGCCACCTGATCCCATTAGTTGCCTCTTACGTCAAGATCAATTCTAACCCGGATCTTCACGAGTGCTCACCTTATAAGTGTCGGCACCTTATCATAGATATGGAAACATGACATATTTTACCATATTTGACAAACACGTTCATTTAACACAAAAATAGAAATGTAAGAGCATCATTAAACCAGATGTGCATGTGAACAGAGGCACTGGAAAAGAATATTGATTTCTAAAGTTCAAAGAGCCCTGCTCTTGACTCAAAATGTCTAGAAGGGTTGTGCGGAAATAAAATCAGCATTGCACACCATCCATGTCAAGGATTAATCGTGGATTCCAAACTAAGCGCCCTTGGCAGGCAAAATGGGAAAAAATATTAACTCTTTAAATTTGGGAATTATTTTTTTACATTTTAATTTCCTTAACTCAGAGGGTTTTTTTAACATTGAAATTTTACATTGCATTAATGCAATAATAGTAAATGAAATATTAAAACCTCTTGATCTTAATTGATCACATTATCAGTAAAATACATGACATCTCTTCAAAGAAATAATTAAAATTAGCTATAATTGCATCTGGATGAATTGGGAAATGTCAAATTTCAATTAAGGAATTCTATTCTGTAATGTATTGCAGATGTGAGGAATGCTGGCATGAGTGAGTGAGTGAAGTGAATGCGCTGCACTCAGCAAAATTCCAGCTATATGGCGGCGGTCTGTAAATAATCGAGCTGGGACCAGACAATACAGTGATCAACAGCATGAGCATCGATCTGCGCAACTGGGAACTGAGGATGTGTCAACCAAGCCAGTGAGCCTGACCACCCGATCCCATTAGTCGGCTCTTACGACAAGTGAGTGAGTGGAGGTGAGGGAGGAGGTGAGGTAAGTGGAGGTGAGTGGAGTGGAGCGGAGTGATTGTGCCTGGGTCTCGACATAATGCACTGACGCTTTTACCACTAGGCTACCTAACTGCCCTGTACAAGTTTAGATAAACCCTGTATGATGACAGTTAATTTGGAGTGACATAAGTTAACATAAGATAGATATTGCATTGTTGTACAAATTGGCTTTACCTTGCAAAGAGGGATAGAAATCTTGTACATGTTTACAGTTAACTTGTAGAGAGGCATTGTACTCTTGGTCATCTTGTTCAGTGAACTTGGAAAGACAGATATTGTACTCTTGTATACATGGCAGTTAACTTGGAGAGAGATATTGTATTCTTGTACATTTGACAATTAACTTGGAGAAAGATATTGTACTCTTGTATACATGGCAGTTAACTTGGAGAGAGATATTGTACTCTTGTACATATGACAGTTACGTTAGAGAGAGATACTGTACTCTTCTCCATGACAGTTGAGTTGGAGAGAAATATTGTACCCTTCAACCAAGTGAAACCAATAGTCACAACTTGTGTTATTAATACCCGGCTTGAAGGATCAGTAACACTAACGCGTTCGGTTTTAAATGACATTTAGCAGCGTTCAACCAACTATAATCACTTCCAAAATGTAAACACAATAGGAATATCTCCTAAGTACCAAAGATGATGCTCAATATTGTCTATTTCTTATGTTGGTACCAACACTTTCAATGACATATATTGACCATGTACATTGTGAACAACACTGAAAGGAAGTTTGGTAAGAGAATCTGAATAGGCAATCATAATTTGGACTTAAACATTACATGGTGTAGTCTAATGAAGGGTAAGCTCTGAAAAAGTTGTGTATGTGTACTAGAGAAGGCATGTCAAAATTAGTACCCCTTGTATAATTATTAAAGATAGCTGATCATCATAAATCAATCAGTTAATTACATCATGAATGACAAGCAAAATCACAAAGAATTTGCGTATGTGCAATAAGTCATTATAAAACAAATTAGTATTCCTTGCCAGTTTGTTTTTTAAGATAGAAGACAATCAGTTAATCTTAACAGTGTTTACGAATAGCGTCTGACCCTCTGACAAATCCGGTAGATTCGCCAATGGCCCGATAGAAGTCTACAACCCGCCAGCCCCAGTGTCTTGACTGTATATTTCACAATGACTTTGACTGAAGTTGCTATATGTGACACTTGTTTGCTGTTTATAAATCTTATGTGTGTTAATAATTTCAATGCCAATTATAAGAAATGTTAAATCTGAAATGTGTGTTTAATTTTATTCTATGGGTCCTGTGAATTTTCAGTGGGTCAGACAGACATCTGAAACTTACAGGACCCAATGTCCTGTTACTTTGAAACGCTATTCGTGAACACTGTCTTAACACGAACTACAAGCTAAATACAAAGAAGACAATGAATTTCAATGACCCAGTCACCGGTTCACACAAAGCATTTATTACTACGTCCAGACTTTGAATGGACATGTCCATCGGAAGCTTAGTGCCTCTTTATAAAATAGCATACATGACAGAGTCACTGTCTGTCAAAGAACAGTCAGCTGAACTTGAATGAATACTAGGAGTTTGTGATGAAAATATAGGTGATGCTTCTGATATAGTTTGTGTGTGAGTGAAACCACACATATTTGTACTCATACTCTGTAGATAAAATAACAGATTCACAATATGACTTCAGTGTTTGGTGAAATATTTCATTCATAAACGTGTATTGAAGTTATATACTTACTTTTTCTTCATGAAGAGTGGACGTATGGAGGACGCCATTTTCGATGTAAGGGGAAGTAACTCAGGAAATAAGCCATATGTGATACCCTCTAAACATCTTATAACGAGCAGAGCTATTTTTCGGAAATTGACCTTAAATTTGCATCTATTTATTTTGTCCGAGAATAACACTAACAATGATTACAATGCTTAATAAATAGATGCTAGTTGTATTACAGTGAGTTATTTACATGAATATGTTTTTAAATTCTATTATTGTCAGGATGAAGATGAACACATTTTTAATCTTTGTATGTATGGTTCAGGATCAACAAGTACATAACTTAACGAAAAGAGCACATATAAGGTTATTTACATGCGTAAATTATTGCATTAGTATGTATTTCATAATCATTTTGTATAATATTCTCATCAGCGAACTGCTTCTAGGTCCATTGTTGAACACATTTCGATCTGCCGGTGTCAGCATGACATCTTCAATGGCGTTTTCACACAAAGTTGGTATCTTTCTTACGTCAACAATGGTGTATCTATCCTACTATTTGTCATTATGTCAACATGCATATATTACGTCATCAGTGGTATCTGTACTGCGTAGATAATAATGCACGTGTTTTGTCATCAATGGTGTCTGTATTACATCAATAGGGATGTATGTATTACGTCATCAATGATATCTGTATGACGTCAGAAATGATATCTGTGTTTAATACGTAAACAATGGCATCTGTATCACACCAACAATGACATCTGTATATTGTCACAGAAAGAGCGTAAAATAATTTAGCATTATATAGTTGAACAACGTTAACTTTCACAACTGTTATCAGGGGCGTAGCTACCATTACAAGAAAAAGCCCGGGCTTACACATGATTTTTGCTAGAAAGGTTGGACAAGCCCTCAGTACTATCTAAATATAAAGCTTTGCAACCTATTGGCCTTACACGAAAATATTGGCTTGCTATGCGCCTGGTTATGTGTTGAAAGTATTTTGCTGTATAACAATACTCCTAAGTATTTCAGTCTTGACAAACTAATCCAGTGGCTGACATTATGAGCAAAAATGACACACAATTAGCCAAGTCCTCGAGCCTGACCACCCGATCCACTTAGTCGTCTCTTTCGATCAGCATAGGTTACTGGGGACCAATTCCGACCAGGAATCCCTAAAGTTCGCATAGGTTGAACCTTACAAATTATGAAAGAGGAAATTGGACCGGTTTTGCTTACATGTCGCCCTAGATGACCACAGCTGTTTCTAGGCATGTAACGACGGGTATAAATATATGCGACCTAGGAACTTCACGCTTACATAAGGCATCGTACAAAAGATTTGAAAACGTTTGTTACAAGAAATAGTATTCTTCAAATTCCAAGGTTGTTGTTTTTAAATTTTATGCATAGTGTATGATGTATGAATATTTTCGGATAATAAGAACATAAACGAACGTATTAAAACAGTCGACAATAGATTAGCACCTAGTCCCTGAAATGAAAGATATAACAGAAAAAAACATAAGCTCAAATTTGATGAAATATTTGTTTGTTTGTTGTTTAACGCCGCATGCACTCAGCAATATTCCAGCTATATGGCGGCGATCTATAAATAATCGAGTCTGGACCAGACAATCCAGTGATCAGTAACATAGGCATCGATCTGCACAATTGGTATAAGACGACGCCTGTCAAACAAATCAGCAAGCCAGACCACCTGATCCCGTTAGTCGCCTCTTACGACAAGCATGGGTTGCTGAAGACAAATTCTTACACGGATCTTCACGGGCTGATGAAATATATTAAAACGAACCCCAAACTCTCTTCCTTTATAGAAACTCTCTTCCTTTATAGAAAAGTTAGTAATCTTGACTTGCCTATAATAGCGCGCATGGGCTGTAATCGATAGAGTAGTTTCAGTGACAGACTGAGCTGACAGCTGATAGGCGTGTTTCGCGGAGGGTGCAGTCTCAGATAGAAAACTCGACGCATCGCTGAAAGATATTATGGACGCATCAATCACCTTGACGACTACATGCAGAGACGGTCTGAGAAAACTCGAGAATTGGCTTCACATTCTGAACAAGATGAATAGAGGCTCGCTACATCCAATATTTCTTCCTAATAAGGATATTTACCATACCGAAAACACACTCGCGTGAAAACTTCTTCACCATCTAATGTCATTCTTAATTTCGATAAATCTGTTCGCGTCTCTCTCACAACTGACCTTTCTCAAAGGGAAGCTACTCTTACCATACACTAAGAGACTAAAGTTTTTTATGAGTCTGTGTCTAACGTTACGAACCCGTGAAGATCCGGGTTAGAATTGATCGTGAGGGGCGACTAATGGGATCGGGTGGTCGGGCTCGCTGACTTGGTTGACACATGTCATCGTATCCCATTTGCGTAGATATAGATGCTCATGCTGTTGATCACTGATTGTCTGGTCCAGACTCGATTATTTAGAGACCACCGCCATATAGCTGGAATATTGCTGAGTGCGGTGGAAAACTAAACTCATTCACTTAACGTTACGATGTGCAGTCAGATGTACACACAGCGATAAAGTGAAACAAGATGACATTTCGGACATACATTGGTCAGTTCAAAATGAGGCGCGGTGGGGTAGCCTAGCGGTTAAAGCGTTCGCTCGTCAGGTCGAAGACCTGGGTTCGATTCCCCATATGGGTACAATGTGTGAAGCCCATTTCTGGTGACCTCCGCCATGATATTGCTGGAATATTGCTAAAAGCGGCGTAAAACTTAACACACTCACTCAATTCAAAATGATTAAAACGAACCAAATGACCCATTGGGGCAGAGCTCGAAAAGCGCACATACTGAAACAGAGCAATGCTGGTGTACAAATTAAACTATTTCCTCCGCACTCTGGGGAAATAGAAAAAAAATGACACTCTTTCCGTAAAATCAGTATGCTACCATTTACGTACATGTACCAAGTTTTGATACAACATAATATCACCTTTCTGGTGACCCAAAAGATATGTAACGTGTAACTCAAGAGTGAGTGGTTGAGTTTTGTTTTACACCGCACTCAGCAATATTCCAGCTTTATGGTTGCGGTCTGTAAATAATCGAGTCTGGACCAGACAATCCAGTGATTAGCAACATAAGCATCAATTTGCACAATTGTATACGATGACGTTTGTCAACCAAGCCAGCGAGCCTGACCACCCGATCCCGTAAGTCGCCTTTTGCGACAAGCATGGGTTACTGAAGATCAATTCTAACCGGGATCTTCACGGGTATAAGAGTGAGCGAGAGGGTAAGGTTTTACTTACACATTGAACCCATGTGGAGAATCGAACCGGGTCCTTGGCGTGACGAGCGAACGTTTTAACCACTAGGCTACCCCACCACTACTTGTAACTGAAGAAGGAAGGTGAAAACTGAAGATCTAGTTGTGAAGTTTGCCGTGAATACTTGCTGATGGGCCAACATTAACATTACAGTCCGTTTGATTTCATTTGAGACCGATGAATTGCTGTTCTACCAGCAAGTGGTCCCCCTCGTAAGAAATAGCGAAAAGTGACAAAATATTGATCGTTTGTTAAACAACTTTTTTATTCCTGTGTCCAAAATTATGAGACAAATCATCAGAGTTAGTCCGTCGATTCCATGTGACTGTGCAAAATTTGGTTTTGTTGCATTTATTAGATTTTGTGTTTGTGAGCAATTCATTGGTCTCAAATGAAATCAAACCGACTGTACGGACAGCTGCCTGCATGAGTATTTCCCGGGCCAGATTCTCGTTAGCACCTCAAGCCCGAAAGCAATGTGTGAAAATGATGGTTGAACAGCACCAGCCAGATTGTCTCAGAAAGATAAATTTTTAATAGCAGATCAAAGTAACCAGGTTCTTACTGTCAAAAACAAAGATATATCTAGCGGTTCTGGCGACCCAGATTCTTTGTTCACGCGCCAGAAAAAAAGAAAGTAGCCACGGGCAACAGGGCAGGTGCTTATTTCGCAGACTGCTCTTAAGAACAGGACATTCAAAGTATGTTAAATATACAATCCTATTAAACTCGCACCTCATGGAACGTTCGTTTTGTTCTTACTTCATGTTAGAGGCTGTATTCAAGACAGTGCCTTGAAATCATTTCACATTTCTGAATACGCAGATTCTTGGAATGGGTCAATTTGGACTGGTCAATATAACGATTAAACTCACCTCGACCTTCATTAGTTATTGACTGAATGCAACCAGACTTCTGAATATATGTTTCTGAACGAGTTGTGCAAATATCTTGTAGACAGACATTTCTCCTAATTACGTTCGATAGATGAATGTGTCAACGCCCTTTGGTACGCAGGATTTACTGATCCGGTATCGGGGAGGATAATAAGTGTGAAAAAAGATGGTAGTCTGAATTCAGAGGAATCGTGGGGCTAGCACCCTCAGATTTGTTTGTTTACACAATGTTACCAAGGCTACAGTGGTCATCTCTCAAACTGGACGTACATGCACGTAGAAATAAATTGTGTGCGTGTTGGTAGATAAACTCTACAAAAAAAGAAAAAAGAGAACCAAACAGGCAAAAAATAAGGAAATGTATTAAACGTATTTAGGTGCACATAAGTCGATTAAGCATGTACATAGATAAAGGAACTTCGACACACGGATGAACATATCTGTCATTGTCAGCATTGATTCAGTTCACTCACTGCACATGTGTGGACACAAGGGGGCGTTCAGGTCAGTACCTGGTGACACCACCCCTTGCAGCCGTCACTGCTCGGCATTGCCTAAAATCTTCGGATTTCTACTTGAGGAATTCTTCGCAAATTTTCCTGCAACGCGTTGGCAAGTTCTGCAAGTGTCTGAGGACGATGGTGACGTTTATGGACGGCGCAAAACATTCGTGTCGACGTCGATAGACACGTTGTGTCCAATTCCGTCGTTACAGGAGGAAACACGATTCATCGATGAACCAAACGCGTTGCCAGTTCCCCAGGTTCCATGCCTGTAGGGGCGGTAGCCTAGTGGTTAAAGCGTGCGCCCGTCACGCTGAAGACCCGGGTTCGATTCCCCAACATGGGTACAATG